TTTCAACACATTTCTAAACATAATAGTTTTCATAACTTATTTCTAATAACAGATTTATTTTATCTTTTCCATGATGACAGTAAATAATATTTTACTAAATATTTTTCAAGACACTTCTAAACAGCTTAAAGTGACATTTAAAGGCTTAACTGGGTTAATTAGGTTAACTAGGCAGGTTATGGTAATTAGACATGTTATTGTATAATGGTTTGTTCTGTAGACGATCAAAAAAAAAAAAAAAATGCTTAAAGGGACTAATAATTTTGGCCCTAAAATGTTGTTTAAAAAATTTAAAACGTCTTTTATTCCAGTCGAAATAAAACAAATAGGACTTTCTCCAGAAGAGGGTTAGGGTTAGGAATACTAAAAAAATAATACTGATAAATAAGGAATACTGTGAAAATTTCCTTCCTCTGTTAAACCTAATTTGGGAAATATTTAAAAAAGAAAAACAAGGCAGTGAATTGCAATAATTGCATTGAAAAAAGCGGTAAAATAAAATAAATGATATATCCTAACCCTAACCCTAAAAAAAAGGAAAGTACAGAATTACTTCTCCCTTTTTTTGTCGTTTTTCTTTTTTTTTGTTTATTTAAAACATTTACTTTTACACGTATATATTTTTTTGTAACACAGGCTCTGGAATAATGTACTTTAAGTTCATATTTCAGTGAAACAAAACATCAACAGACTCTAAAAATGTCTATGAACTTTGCTCTTTAGTTTTTATTCTCTATTGGATTCAGGTCAGGTGATTGACTGGGCCATACTAGCAGCTTTATTTTGATTTTAAAACCTGTGTTTGGTATCATTGTCTTGTTGAATTTTTCACTTTGGTTTCAACTTCATCATCTGGCAATGTAGATGTTGGGACAGAAGCAGCTAATATTAATTTACACTGACATCAGATGAGCATTGCTTTCTAACTACTGAAAATTTTCAGCAGATGTTTGGGCTTTCCATGCTTTTTACACCTTCTGTTTTTATGTGTTTCTTCATGTGACTTCTTAAATGTGTAATTTATTTTTATTACACATAACTTAAATAAATAGTGAAAATTGTGATGTGTCAATATTTATGTTACCTGTGGTACATGTATAATAGGCCCCTTAGACAGTGGATTTATATGTATTGATGTATTAATAAAATAGGCCTCTTAGATAAACAGGAGGAAGTAGTGAATATGTGAAAAGCAGAAAGCAGAGCTCCGTTTCCCAGTAATAGAGTAAAAATAAAAGCTGACAGTAAAAACTGATGGTAAGAACTGCAGGGAATGTATTCTGTCACTTACGGTAAAAAGGGAAGTTCACATTGCTGGAAATGGATGAATGAATGTGAATCCAGAAAAGCAAACACACACACACACACACACATGCGCGCACACAGACGTGTACACACACCACACACACAAGCACACACACATGCACACACACATAACTCACAAGTACTTCAGGAGCACTTGGTAATTGCAGTCAGGTGTGGATCGGAGCTCTGCAGAAGGTACCGTACAGTGGATCTCTAGGAACAGAAATGGGAACCCATAGTCTACACCTGCTTCCTAAAAAGACAAGCATAATGCTTGCTTGTGGCCTCATGTAAAGGTCAACGAGCAAAAGTCTATCTTGCAAGATTACATAACTGCTACATCCCTTTCAAACATGATGCAATATCATGAATGTCACACAAACCAGCACACAGAGACTTACAGCTCACAAGTGTAGAAAGTGCCTCTAAAACAGGAATGTTTCAATGTAGAGGACATTTTCCGTTTGCAGTTATTTTGACATTATGTTCCATTGTGTTTAGTTCCTGTTTCTTTACCCTGTTCAGTTTTGTTTGTGATTACATCCTTATTTGCTTCCATTGTAACCTATAATTATCACCTGTACATTGTTTAGTTCATGAATTTGTTCGCTGTATATTTAGCCCTTAGTTCGCAGCCTGAGTTTGTTATTATCTTAATTTAATGTGGTTGAGTGCTAAATAACCTTTTTTTAGGGGCCAACAAGACAATTTGAACTATTATTTTGATTTTCCAAATGACTCATTAAAATGTTTATGAGTCATAGGACTGGTCCCAATTACTAATCATTAGTTGACGAAAAAAGGCTTGGTTGACCAAGATTTTATTGATGGGCAGATCGTTAATGGCTAGTCTATGATGTGGTAATAGTACATCAGACAGGACATGTAAACACTTGTCTATCATTCATCGACCTCAAATAGCAACTTTACATGGCCACACCATCCATTGTTAACCTAGAAAAATGACTGCTATGTTGGAGTCCTTGCAGAACAGAACTGCTGTATTCGCTGCATGACAGATGGAGGCACCTGTGAAATCACTCCATTCATTTTTGGGTCCTACAGATAATAGTAATGCATCTTTCAAATCTGCAAAATACTATGTGATTGTTTGTTTCTACTCACAAAAACATTATTTAAAAAGGTAATGATTCGCACTCATCAAGTAATTGCTTTGTATTGTTTTATTTTTTTCATTCTTCGGGTGATTTAAAGACATAAACGTTTCGGCACAATGCCTTCCTCAGTGAGACACAATCCTCTAACTCCACCCTTTTATCCTATAGTCAATCACAATGCGTCATTAGTTAGACGGCCACTCTCATTTTCATTTCATTATTCCATGATTAACCACATAAAGACTACTTATCTTCATATTTCAAACATTATTTCAAAGGGAAATAGTATATAAATTATTATCATTTACCAAGTGTACATCAATACAATGAAAATCCGACAGATAAAATTAAAAAAATACATTTGACAGTCACTCTATGATTAAAAACAATCTTAACTTCACCTCAACACACATAACTAACCACACAAGAAACGTTTGTGTCTTTATATCACTCGGAGAATGTAAAAACTAAAATAAACACTCTACAGTTTGTCAAATATTGCTGCTGTTGGACAACATAATTTACTTTTAAGGCTGTTTTAGTTGAGAATATAGTTGTTAAGATTGCAACTATGCAGCTTATTTATAAGGATAGTGCTTATTTTAAATATCTATCATTTCGGAGAGACGTTGGCAGCCATTAGCCTGTCATTGAGCAGACCAAAGACGGCTGACGTTGTTCATCGACAAGATGGCGACAGAGACAAAAACAGGTAAATGACATTCTAAATTGATCCCTCTATCTGTTTGTATGCTGTAGTGCTGTATATGTCCCATATAATTGTAGTTTTTGTTTCTAAAGCATCGCCTGTTTTCTTTACTGCAGACTAGTTCAGTAAATAGAAAGAAAGAAGAAATGCCCGCATGTGTTTTGTGGTTTTCCTTATCACAAACACAACAGTAATCTGGTAGTGTTGGAAGTGCTTTGACTTTTCCGGGGATTATTATTGTGATCTGTGTTTGATTTTATTTTTTATGTACACGATTATGCTGTCGAACTGTTCTATAAATACAATATAACACTTGTAGCAACGCACATCTTCCACCAGTGCCAATATACAGCCACATCACACTGTTACTCGTGTGATATTGCTCATATATGTAGGCAATTGAAGACTTTGTTCGATGATTTAAACTGTTTAATAAATGGATGAATAGTTGACTAATGGCTAAAATAAATGAATACTAGTTGACCAAAAATAGCTTTAGTCGAGGGTAGAAAAAAAATGTAAAAATGTGAAAGAATTAGTAGATACACAAATTATGAAACACATTATATTAACTCTAACTTTAACTCAGTGATGATCTCAATGAATCAACAAGATTCATGTGGATTTGTTTGATTGCCCTCAGTGAAGAACCATTGAAATTTCAAAATGTTTTAAACAGTTTTAACAGAACAAACTTTAAATGAAAAACTAAGCTTGGAAATTTGATAAATCCTCTTTCAAAACATAAGATTCATGGATTTAAAGCTGCATTAAAGGGATAGTTTACCCACAACTGAAAACCCCTTCCTCATTTACTTACCCATTACTTTTTACAAGTCAGTACAGGTCAATACAGGTTATTAGCTTTACAATCTCTTCTTTAGTGATCAAATAAGGTAAGAAACTCATAAAGGTTTGGAACCACTTGAGAGAACTATCTCTTTAAGCAGTCATTTGAAAGCAGCCATCACAGAACTATATAAAAAGGTTTTCATTTAAGATTTAAAGGGTCAACTATTTTAGTATTGTAAAATATAGACGTTAATGGCATTTTGTACATATTAGACAGTTGTTCTGAACCATAGTTTAATTTAAGCATTTCTCTTCACCTTTTATGTAATCATATATGTACTCATCATGCAGATAAAACCTGGTTTGTTGGTCCATTGGTCAGATTGCTTTAACACCAAAAGCAAACTGCTCCAGAGTTTGTTTCCAAATGGAAGCCCTTCATTTAAGCGATCTAAGGTCTAAGAATTGTTTTGGTGCTGATTCAAGTGCAACTACCATGTTCATACTGTATGAATAAATGAACCTAATGTAGAAAACAGTCTTGATAGCCCTCTAAAGTTGAAGAACCCTCATCTTAGCTGATTTGGCAAATAGTTTTTAATCGATGTAGGAAATTCTACTAAATGTCACATTAAGTTTTCTATTCAACATTAAATGCATTGTCTTCTCTAGGTTTGTATTCAGATTTTAGCATCTTTAGTATTATACATGTGTTTATGTATGTATGTGTGTATACATAATTTTTTTTTGTAATTATTTTCTGTTTGTTACAACTTGTATTTTTCTTATTTACTTACACATTGATTAACTCGGGTGATCATTGTTTGCAGATACGATGTCTAGAGTTTAACTATATCTTGAGTTCAGTTGTGTTTCCTCTGTGACTTGATGAAGACCTTTTAACTTGAAAGTTGTCCAGATAAATTTGTCTTTTGCTTTTACTTTTTCTATCTCATTAACGTAGAACATGTTTCAGCAACAATCAGAAAATCTTCACATATGGTACCATTTTAGGGTCCAATGTGCTTAAAATAAAGGAAGAATAGAATAATTTTGGAGCATAGTAGAGAACATACCGAAATACTCCTCAGATGGGGGATTATCCATGTCATACAGCATCTTCTTAGTCAAGCGGTCCAGTTCCTCCTCTGGACGACCCTAAAACACACCAAAGATATACACCACAATTATACATACTGTACACATTAACAAACAATAAACAATAATCAGCTTGTGGGCAAATTCTACAAAAGCACGTATAACACAGACCTTATAATGTATAAAGCAAGCTGAAGTTCATGATTACAAGATAACGGCAGGCTAATTAAATGAGTTGACGCAACAGATTTTCATGGATGTGCTCAAGCATCTCTTAATTAGAAGGATCGTCAGCCTAACGAGATCATCAGTCTAACAAATAACTCATACATCAAGACTGTAGCTGAGGTTTCAGAAGTTAAAGTGAAGCTTGTGACAACTGTGTTCTCTCCAGCACCCAGAATCTTATCATGATGATCTTCATTACGATCATCCACAGCTCATTTTTAATTGACAGTTTGTTCCTGTACTAAAGGAGCTGTGTTGAAGTGCTGCGAGCTGCATTTGTTTGTTGTAGATATTGTAGTGCAGTGAGCAGAGCTTACAGTGTATGGACACCACACATACATTTACTGTATGTACAGTGCTCAGTATACTGTATATAAGCACACCTCTCACAAATCTTTAAATTTAATATTAAATTCATATTTTTAATAAAAAGCTATACAATATAATATTTGTGCATATCCATTAGATTAGTCAGTACTGAAGCCAAATCTGGAGCATATTTAACAAAATAACTTAATATAACGTTCCAAAAACTAGTACACTCATGTGCATATGTTATAGAAAAATAATAAATACACATTTTAAAAAGAGGAAATTAAAAATTTAGTTAAAATGTTGTATGTTATATTTTTTGTAATATTTTGCTTGAATTAAATTGTATTATCTTTCAATTTCTAAATATGTTTGGTGACTAAAATATTATTTTAATAAATATACCTGTTTAATAAATCTGTTGTTTAAATTCATTAAAATACATTGCCTGTATTTACTGAGAAATGGAAAAAAAATGCTCATTTTCAAAATGGGGTGAACTTAATTATGCTGACCACTGTATAAACAATGTATATAACACCTTGGTATTTGGATTATTACGGATAAGTATTTTAGCAAGATTATTTAGCTAAATAAAATGCTAAATATAATATAAATAATATATTATTCTTCTGTAAAAAATCTTATTTGTTTTATTTTGGCTGGAATAAACGCAGTTTTGAATTTTTTTAAAATTGGGGAAAAATAAAGAGGGGGGGGGGGGGGGGGGCTAATATTTCTGACTTCAACTGTGTATATATATCGGCTTAGTCCCTTTATTAATCCAGGGTCGCACAGCGGGATGAACCGCCAACTTATCCAGCAAGTTTTTACGCAGCGGATGCCCTGCGTAAAATATACATACATAAAAACGTAAAAACATACATACATACATACATACATACATACATACATACATACATACACACACACACACAGTAAGGTTCATAAATATTTGGACACCGACACGATTCTAACATTTTTGGGTTTAAATAGAAACTAATAAGATGTGATTTAAATGCAGACTGCCAACTTTGATTCAATGGTATTTACATCTCAATCAGGTGAACGCTGTAGAAATTACAACAGTTTGCATATGTGCCTCTCATTTGTTAAGGGTTCAAAAGTAATTGGACAGAATGATAATCATAAATAAAACTTTCACTTTTTAATACTTGGTTGCAAATCGTCAATTACAACCTGAAGTCTGGAACGCATTGACATTACCAGAGACTTGGTTTCAAGAGGATCCTGGTGGTGCTCTGCCAGGCCTCTAAAGCAACTGTCCTAAGTTCCTACTTATTCTTGGGGCATTTTCCCTTCAGTTTTGTCTTCAGCAAATAAAATGAGAGCTCAATCGGATTCAGGTCAGGTGATTGAAAAAAAACTCTTCGAAAAACTCTTCGGTATGACTTTTAGAATTTTTTGACTCATTAGCCCCTTTCACACAGTGATACCGGTAAATATCTGGAAAATTTGGACTTTACCGGTATATTCAAAAAAGCGCTGTTCACACAGGCGAGGACATTACGGAAATTTTCCAGAAAAGAGCATTCACACATCCATTCCAAAATACCGGTAAATTCTGACATCATTCACGACAAATGAGCTTCGGCTGCGCTTGTATTTGTAAACATTTGACTAAATTACAAACTCTGTGGATGATCAATATTGTGAACAACTTTCGCAGCATCACTTTCACATGTCGAGATGTTCATAATATGTGCGTGTGCAGGCGCTCACAGGCTGTTTCACAGGCACACGCAAAGTTTAAAGGTAAACAAACAACTGCTTATCATAAGCATCTCATCGATGATTATTTACACAGTTGGCATTAAGAAAAACATATAAATGTGATCTGACTAACTTCTAGCAGCTAAAGGTGTCTGGAAAAATATTCAAAGGCTTTTATTCTCACAAACCACGCAGACGTAAATGCGTCTGACTGTTGTGATTGGCTAAAGCAGATGTCTCACGTCAGCACGTTCTAGACGTGCATGCGCTTATTATGGCAATCTTCCTTCTGCATTCACACAGCGCAGCATTCCGGCAAATTGCCGGTAATCTTACAACTTCTCTTTCCGGAAAATAGCCAGAACGAATTTACCGGTATTTTCAAAAAGGACCTGTTCACACATACAACCTTTCCGGTCTGTATGTGTGAAAGGGGCTAATGTCATAGTTACAATTGGCTTGCATTATGGAAGTCACTAAAACCCTCAGTTTCACAAACAATAAATTATTATTATTATTATTATTATTATTATTATTGTTGTTGTTGTTTTTATTATAATATTTTTCATTAATTAATATATTTAATGTTCAGTTAAATAAAAAATATTTTTAAATGATTTTTCAAAATTTTAAAGCCTGAGTAAATAAACAACAAGCAAATATGCCTTTGGGTGAATCCAATTTTCTCCTTTTTAACAGTTGTGAAAAAATTCTATGTTACAGTTATAATTCATGCAAACGACCCAGTTGATCTTTTTCCTGTTTCCTTTAACCACAGAGTAACTGACCAAGTAAAATGACCTCTCTGGCCTGGATGGGACAAGCTCAAGCCAGGTGATCCAAAGACAGACAGAATGACAAACAAACATTCTTACGCTTAGCCAAATTTCAGAGGTTTCCGTCCAAACCCATCACAGATCTTACACCGATCATTTAACAGTGCAAAACAAGGTCAAGCAGGAAACCAGACCAACAAACACATCAGCAAATCCTGTACAATTATAAAAACACACAGACTAGCAAATCACCGGGGGTTAAAGAGGGATGGAGCCAGAGGTCTGGACACTTCTGCTGTTGGTGTGAACACAGGATCTCCCAATATGAAAAGGGCTTAGATAAAAACACCAATTACAGACCTAAATGGAAGCCTTGGGCTTCCTCCCTCCAACCAACAGACACAAAACATACATTCTGCCTCAGTTTAGTAACAACTTTATCAACCCTGAAGTTGTTCACTCATGCAGTTCCTTCCTCCATGGCAAGTTCTGTTGGCGCTCTATTTCTTGTCACAAGTTCTGCACACTGTCAGGCCTAAGAGACATGTTCTGTCAGAGCGATACAGAGACGATGACTGCATCTCACACAGAGGGAGGGAAAGTAATGAAAACTTTCATGTGGCGAAAGCCCACACAGAAACTTTCAATTCAGCATATCTCCACTTCCTGCAGACAGCTAATTATTATGGAGGGGGTTAATTACTTGAATACGAATGCAGAATGTTGAAGGCAGATGCAAAACTTTCTGCAGATCTATTTGTTAACCTGTGTCTGGGTGTCCAGGTGGACCAAAATGCCTTCACGGAATGAAGGGCCTTTGTGTTTTGAAGAAATTGTGTGGAATCTCATTTTAGTCTCTCAATCGCTCCATGTGGTTTATGACAATTTGACATGTAATTTAACAGTCTGAGTGGGCACAGTGAATTATTGTGGGCAAGAAAAACAACTAATTAAGAAGAGCGCTGTGTGTAATTATCTTTCCTTATGTACAACTTGTACAATACACTCTTATTGTTAACATTAGCATTATATTTAGCATTACAGAAAAAAAGCCTTAGAAAGGAGAATTAAATGGTGCATCTCATGGTATTGTCGTGTAACATGAGAAAAAATTGTAATGAATAAAAATATCCCCTGCTGTAGAAAAGCTGAATATCTTTATATTAAACAAATTTTTTAATATAAAACACAACCATGCAGATCTATACTCTTTGGTCCTACTCTGAACGAAAACAAATGCAAGTTGTACAGGTCAACAGAGCTTGCAGAGGGTGTCAATGGCCATGATACGTTTGTAGATAACTTTGTTAACAGTTTCCAAAATCTTGTGTAAATAAATATTGAATGTTTCCCAATGCTGTATTTAATTTAAAAAACAATTTAAAAAAAAGCAAACACAAATGGCACTTTCACAATAATAATAAAAAATTATTCAAGAAATAAAATATTTTTTTGGTACCTGTAAATAAGTCATTATTTTAACTATAAATAAATCACAAGTATAGTGCATCCGGAAGTATTCATACTTCCCTTTTCCACATTTTTTTTTTTTTGAAATTTCTTATTCCAAAATGAATTACATTCATTTATTTCCTCAAAATTCTACACACAATACCCCATAATGACAATGTGAAAACTGATTTTTTTTTTAATTGTTGAAAATTTATTAAAATAAAAAACCTGAAAAATCTCATGTACATAAGTATTTAGAGACTTTGCTCAATACTTTGTTGATGAACCTTTGGGTGCAATTACAGCCTCAAGTCATTTTAAATATGATGCCACAAGCTTGGAATGCGTGTCTTTTGGAATATTTGCCCTTTCGTCTTTGCAATATCTCTCAATCATTGCCTCTCTATCAGGTTGGATGGGAAGCAACGGTGTACAGCCATTTTCAGATCTCTCCAGAGATGTTCAATAGGATTTAGGTCTGGGCTATGGCTGGGCTATGGCTGGGCCACTCAAGGACATTCACTGAGTTGTTGTGAAGCCACTCCATTGATATTTTGG